GTATGGGGGTTTCTTAAGGCTGAAGTTTACAAACATCAAGAAGATTCAAGAAGAGATTGCTCGTATTCCTCAAGAAATGTTGATTAGAGTTATGGCGAACTTTCGAACTCGCATTCGGCAATGCATTAACGAAGGAAAACACTTGAGCGATATAGTGTTCAAAAAACGAAACTTGTAAAACATAATAACATAACTTCCCATTCTGCAGATTCCATTCTTGTGAATCCAGTTTCGTTAATTTGTACCATCTGTTTTTTATTCAAGTTTCAAATTAGGCAGGGAGTTTTGCCGCATCTGACAGTAAGAGTAGAAGAGAGCAATATTGGTAAGAATAAAATTTGCTACAACTTTTGTTCTAAAAGTTTTTTTGTATCATGCTCCGATTTCCGAGTGCTACCATTAACTACTAGTAAAACAACTAAAATCATCAAATTTTAAAGTTTTTCTTATTTTTCTCAATATTGACGCATCGGAGAGCAAGAATAGAAGAGAGCAATATTGGTAAGAATAAAATTTGTTACATCTTTTGTTCTAAAAGTTTTTTTGGATCATGCTTCGATTTCCAAGTGTTACCATTAACTACTAGTAAAACAACGAAAAACATCAAATTTTTAATTTTCGTATTTTTCTCAATATCGCCGCATCTGAGAGCAAAAATACAACAGAGCAATATTGGTAAGAATAAAATTTGCTACAACTTTTGTTCGAAAAGTTTTTTTGTATCATGCTCCGATTTTCGAGTGCTACCATTAATTACTAGTAAAACAACAAATTCATCAATTTTTCTCAATATTGATGTTTCTGAGAGAAAGAGTAGAAGAGAGCAATATTGATGAGAATAAAATTTGCTACAACTTTTGTTTTAAAAGTTTTTTTGTAACATGGTCCGATTCCTGAGTGCTACCCATTAACTTGTAGTAAACAACGAATTCTTCAAATTTTCATATTTTCGCATTTTTCTCAATATTGACACATCTGAGAGCAAAAATACAAGAGTGCAATATTGGTAAGAATAAAATTTGCTACAACTTTTGTTCTAAAAGTTTTTTTGTATCATGCTCCGATTTACGAGTGCTACCACTAACTGCTAGTAAAACAACTAAAATCATCAAATTTTAAAGTTTTTCTTATTTTTCTCAATATTGATGTTTCTGAGAGCAAAAGAACAACAGAGCAATATTGGCCAGAATAAAATTTGCTACAACTTTTGTTCTAAAAGTTTTTTTTTTCATGCTCCGATTTCCGAGCACTACCTTTATCTACTAGCAAAACAACGAAAAACATAAAATTTTCATATTTTTGTATTTTTCTCAATATTGACGCATCTGAGAACAAGAGTAGAAGAGAGCAATATTGGTAAGAATAAAATTTGCTACAACTTTTGTTCTAAAAGTTCTTTTGTATCATGCTCCGATTTCCAAGTGCTACCATTAACTACTAGTAAAACAATGAATTCTAAAAATTTTCATATTTTCGCATTTTTTTCAATATTGACGCATGTGAGAGCAAAAGTACAACAGAGCAATATTGGTAAGAATAAAATTTGCTAAAACTTTTGTTTTAAAAGTTTTTTTGTAATATGTTCCGATTCCAAAATATTACCATTAATTGATAAAACAACGAAATTCATCAAATTTACATATTTTCGCTTCTTTCTCCATATTGAAGTATCTAACAGCAAAAGTGAAAGAGAGTAATATTGTTAATAATAAAATTTGTTACAACTTTTATTCCAAAAGTTTTTTTGTATCATGCTCCGATTTTCGCGTGCTACCATTAATTACTAATAAAACAACGAATTCTTCAAATTTTCATATTTTCGCATTTTGCTCAATATTGACGCATCTGAGAGCAAAAATACAACAGAGCAATATTGGTAAGAAGAAAATTAGCTACTACTTTTGTTCTAAAAATTTTTTTGTATCATGCTCCGATTTCCGAGTGCTACCACTAACTACTAGTAAAACAACTAAAATCATCAAATTTTAAAGTTTTTCTTATTTTTTCCAATATTGATGCTTCTGAGAGCAAAAATACAACAGAGCAATATTGGTAAGAATAAAATTTGCTACAACTTTTGTTCTAAACATTTGTTGATAACATGCTCCGATTTCTAAATATTACCATTAGCTAATAGTAAAACAAGGAAATTCATCAAATTTTAAATTTTTTGTATTTGTCTCAATATTGACGAATCTGAGAGCAAATGTACAAGAGAGCAATATTGTTAAGAACAAAATTTGCTACAATTTTTGTTATAAAAGTTTTTTGATAACATGCTCCAATTCTCAAATGTTACCATTAAGAGCAAGTAAAACGACAAGTTAATAAAATTTTCGCATTTTTGTGTTTTCTCCATATTGAAGCATCTAACAGCAAAAGCGAAAGAGAACAACATTGTTAAGAATAAATTTTGCTATAATTATTGTTCTAAAAGTATTTTTGTAACATGCTTTAATTCCCGAATATTACCATTAGCTAATAGTAAAACAAGGAAATTTATCAAATTTTCAATTTTTTGTATTTTTCTCAATATTGACGAATCTGAAAGCAAAAATACAAGAGAGCAATATTGTTAAGAATAAAATCTCCTACAACTTTTGTTCTAAAAGTTTTTTTATAACATGCTCCGATTCTCAAGTGTTACCTATAACTTGAAAGAATAACAAATTTTCATATTTTCTTATCTATCTCGATATTGACGCATCTAAGAGCAAAAATGCAAGAGAGCAATATTGTTAAGAACAAAATTTGCTACAACTTTTGTTCTAAAAGTATTTTTGTAAAATGCTTCGATTCCCGAATGTTACCATTAGCTAATAGCAAAACAAGGAATTTCATCAAATTTTCAAATTTTCTTATTTTTCTCAATATTGACGAATCTGAGAGCAAATATACAAGAGAGCAATATTGTTAAGACTAAGATTAGCTACAACTTTCGTTCCAAAAATTTTTTTATAACTAGCTTCAATTTCCAAATATTACCATTAAGAGTAAGTAAAACAACAAAATTCATAAAATTTTCATATTTTCGTATTTTTCTCGATATTGACGCATCTGAGACCAAAAATATAAGAGAGCAATATTCCTCAGAACAAAGTTTGCTACAACTTTTGTTTTAAAAGTTTTTTGATAACATGCTCCGATTCCCAAATGTTACCATTAACACTAGTAAAACAAAAAATTCGTAAAATTTTCATATTTTCGTATTTTTCTCAATATTGACGAATCTGAGAGCAAATATACAAGAGAGCAATATAATATTGTTAAGAACAAAATTTGCAACAACTTTTGTTTTAAAAGTTTTTTGATAACACGCTCCGATTAGATTTTGAACAATTTCGCTACCTCATAAACCAATTTTAAACGATGTTGGTGCAGTTTTTAATCATTCTGAGCAACTTGGACTCGCCATAAACTAATCCTTATACAATTTCACTCATTTTGAACAACACGAGATGGCTATGAATGTTTAGATTGATTAGAAAACTTTCATTTCTCTACAATACACATCAAATCTTACATATCACATTGTTTTTATTAAAACTTTCTTCTAGTAATCATTTAAAAAGTTCAATTCGATTTTAATTCCATCGCAATTCCATTCCAGTTTCACTTTAACCAATTCAAAATCGATTTTTTACCTACCCAAAAATTAGTTACAATTAGAACTGTCAAATTTGACGTTTAATGTCATTTAAAACGTCATTTTTGACGTTTAATTTAATTTTTTTAGGTTAACCACGTTTGTTTTTGATTTTTGATGTTTTTTGTTTATTTTTTTTAAGTTTATTATTAGAAAGAGGTGTATTGTGTGTTTTAGCGTGAAGAAAATAAACTGAATAATGCGTCCCGATTAAAAATTGCACGCTATTTAAGCATACCGGAAGTGTATCCGTTAGATATGTGCATAAATCTTGACGAATTTAACCGAAGAATGAAATTTTTATGATCTAATTAACAACGAAAAGTGAAGAAATAAGCAAACAAAGGTTGTGTACAAAGTCGACGGAAAAAAATCAATAATAAAAAGTTGTGTAATCTAAAACGTTTCATCATAATCGATTAAATAGAATCAAAAGTAAATACAAAAACAGGCTCCCAACATAAATAAACTAATTAATAACTCAAGGAGAAAAACAAACACTATGAAAAAGATAATAAATTAAAAATTAAGACTCACCCTGTTTGTTGGTTTATTACACGACCGATTATCGATGGCATTTAACACTTTTTCGCCGATTTTTGGTTGATTTTGGACGACTTCTTTATCGCACAACATATCCACACTCTACACAAGCCCGAAACGTTCTAAATGACGTTTTTGTGCTCGTTTTTTGAATCGATTCGAAGCTCTAAACTCCACCATCTAACTGACACATTCGTTTGGAGCCAACTTCACAACCATCACTTTATTATTACCTTAAAGGGGGGAGAAAATAACAAATTAATTTAATCAATAAATTTTGATTCAAAAATGATTTAATTTCGAATTAATTCACATCAAATTTAGAAAAAAAAAACGATAAATTTGGATTAAATTAACGTGGTGTCAAAAAATTAGCTGTCATGGTTAATACAGATCCCTGTAATCGGTAATTAATTTATATTTTCTTAAATATCTTAATAACGTGCTTTAATTTTTTTATAACTATTAATAATCGTTTTTTTTTGCTAATTTTAATGTTATTTGTAATCCAAAAAAGAATTAAATACCACTAAATTAAATTAATTACCGATTACAGGGACCTATATAGTTAAAGCACAACTTTTTTTTTAATCAAATCGTTCTAATTTTAATTAAAAATAATAATTTAATTAAAATTATAATCCCAAATTCGTTATTTATTTAATAATTAAACCAATAAAATTATTTAAAATTTTTAAGTCAAATCACGAAACGTCATTTAAGAAAGATTTCGGAGCCAAAAAATTTTCAAAAAATCATATCTACTGTATTTTTAAGAATAATNTTTTGGCAAGTACTACATCCTAGTAAAGTTTCCCGATTAAAAACTGAACCACCCTGTATGTTGGGGGTCATCTCCGTCTAAATTAACCCCCCAAGGGTTTTCTCTCGCCCATTGGATTGCTTTAACATACTCGATGCAATGTTCGGGAAGTCTTGGGGTATTTTGCTCCTGGAAAATAGTATTAAAGAAGAAATTGTTAAATTATATAGTAAAAAGTAAAAAAAAAATTTTCAAAAAATCATATCTACTATGTTTTTGAGAATTTTGATAAGATATATATGTTAAATTGAAGCTTAAAGATTCTAGTTTATGGTGTGATATAAAAACTATTAGATGATATTATTGTAATTTCAAAAAAAAAATTTTAAAGAAGAAACTGTCAAATCTATAAATAAAAAAAATACAAAATTTCAAAAAATCATATCTTCTTTATTTTTAAAGATAAGAATGTGTTAAAGGAGAAACATTCTAAATTATGATATGATATAGAAAAGATAGGGTTCGATTATAAAAATTTTGAGAAATGTCATCTTAAACGAAAAATTGTAAAATTGGTATAGACAGCTTAAAACATTAAAAATTTCAAAAAATAATATCTTCTTTATTTTTAAAGGTAAGGATATGTATTATATCTCAAATTAAAGGAGAAACATTCTAAATTATGATATGATATAGAAAAGATAGGGTTCGATTATAAAAATTTTGAGAGATGTCATCATAAACGAAAAATTGTAAAATTGGTATAGACAGCTTAAAAAATTAAAATTTCAAAAAATCATATCTTCTTTATTTTTAAAGGTAAGGATATGTATTATATCTCAAATTAAAGGAGAAACATTCTAAATTATGATATGATATAGAAAAGATAGGGTCCGATTATAAAAATTTTAAGATAATGTTATTAAAATTTTCTAAAAAATGACAAATTAATAATAAAAAATAATACGAAATTTTCAAAAAATCATATATACTTCATTTTTAAGAATTATGATATGATATGTATGTTAAATGCTTAACATACATAAAAAGCTTAAAGATTCTAGTTTATGATGTGTAGGGCACAGAACTTTCTAAAACGATTTTCTTAATAAAAGAAATATATAAAAAAATATATATAAATTCTTTTTGGAGGTTATGTTCTTAATTATTGATCAAATCCAAAATTTCTATTAACAAAATTTGTTTAAAATTACTTCAGGAACAGTGTTTGTTAATAAAATTTTTTGCTAACTTGAAATTTTAATTTCCCTCTGAATAGTATGAAAATTAATATTTTTGAGGTTATATCCTTATTGTTGATTTAATCAAAAAAATGTTGTTAATAAAATTTGTTTAGAATTACTTCAGGAACAGTGTTTGTTAATAAAAATTTTTGCTAACTTGAAATTTTAATTTCCCACTGAATAGTATGCTANAATGAAATTTCCAGGAATAAATTATTGAAAAAGAAATTGTCAAAAAGATTACAAAATTTTCAAAAAACTATATCATCTGCATTTTTTAGAATTATGATATAATTTGTGTGTTAAATTGAAGCTTAAAGATTGTAGTTTATGATATGATATAAAAGCAATGACATAATATTAATGAAATTTCCAGGAATAAATTGTTGAAGAAGAAATTGTCATATTTATAAATCTAAAAGAACACGAAATTTTCAAGAAACCATATCATTCGAATTTTTAAGAATCATGATATGATATATATGTTAAATTGTAGCTTAAAGATTCTAGTTTATGATATGATATAAAAATTACAATCTAATATTATTAAAATTTCCTGGAAAAACTTATTAAAGATGAAATCAAGCATTAAACGAAATTTTCAAAAAATTATATCATCTGTATTTTTAAGAATTATGATATAATATATATGTTAAATTGTAGCTTAAAGATTCTAGTTTATGATGTGATATAAAAATTATAAGCTAATATTATTAGAATTTCCTGGAAAAATTTATTAAAGATGAAATCAAGCATTATACGAAATATTCAAAAAATCATATCATCTGCATTTTTCAGAATTATGATATAATATATATGTTAAATTGTAGCTTGAAGATTCTAGTTTATGATATGATATGAAAATTGTAAGATGATATTATTAAAAATTTGAGGAAAAAATTATTGAAGAAGAAATTGTCAAACTTATATATAAAAGAGAAATTTTCAAAAAAACATATTTTCTATATTTTTATGTATAATGATATGAAATATATGCTAAATTAAAGCTTGAAGATTTTAGTTTATGATATGATATGAAAATTATAATATAATATTATTGAAATTTTCAGGAAAAAATTATTGAAGAAGAAATTGTCAAATTTATAAATAAAAGAGAAATTTTCAAAAAATCTATTTTCTATATTTTTATGTATAATGATATGAAATATATGCTAAATTAAAGCTTGAAGATTCTAGTTTATGATATGATATGAAAATTGTAATATGATATTATTGAAATTTTCAGGAAAAAATTATTGAAGAAGAAATTGTCAAATTTATAAATAAAAGAGAAATTTTCAAAAAACCATATCATCTGCATTTTTTAGAATTATGATATGATTTGTATGTTAAATTGAAGGTTAAAGATTGTAGTTTATGATATGATATAGAAATGATAGGGTTCGATTATGAAAATTTTGAGAAATGTCATCATAAACGAAAAATTATAAAATTGGTATAGACAGCTAAAAAATTAAAAATTTCAAAAAATCATATCTTCTTTACTTTTAAATGTAAGAATGTGTATTATATCTCAAATTAAAGGAGAATCTTTCTAAATTATGATATGATATAGAAAAGATAGGGTTCGATTATAAAAATTTTGAGAAATGTCATCATAAACGAAAAATTGTAAAATTGGTATAGACATCTAAAAAATTAAAAATTTCAAAAAATCATATCTTCTTTACTTTTAAAGGTAAGAATGTATATTATATCTCAAATTAAAGCAGATACATTCTAGATTATGGTATGATATAGAAAAGATAGGGTTCGTTTATAAAAATTTTGAGAAATGTCATTATATATGAAAAATTGAAGAATTGGTATAGACAGCTTAAAAAATTAAAAATTTCAAAAAAGTATTTTTGAGAATTATGATATGATATGTATGTTAAATTAAAGCTTAAAGATTCTAGTTTATGATGTGTAGGGCACGGAACTTTAGTAACTTTCTAAATTAAATTCTAAAACGATTTTCTCAATAAAAAAAATATATAAAAATATATATGGTGTATCTGAATGACATGCCCANGAATTGTTTCAGGAACAATTTTTGTTAACACAAATTTTTTCTAACTTGAAATTTTAATTTCCCACTGAATAGTATGCCACAAAAATTAATATTTTTGAGGTTATATCTTTATTTTTGATTTAATCAAAAAATATTATAAACAAAATTTGTTTAGAATCACTTCAGGAACAGTGTTTGTTAACAAAATTTATTGCTAACTTGAAATTTTAATTTCCCACTGAATAGTATGCTACAAAAATTAATATTTTTGAGGTTATGTCCTTATTGTTGATCTAATCAAAAAATGTTGTTAACAAAACTTGTTCAGAATTACTTCAGGAACAATTTTTTGCTAACTTGAAATTTTAATTTCCCTCGGAATAGTATGCCATCAAAATTAATTATCTCGATAATCATTGGTTTTATCAAAATATGTTTTAAATAAAACTTGTTTCAATTTCGATTTTGAATCAATTATATTAATAACAAATTTTTGCATCTCTATTAATTAAGCATCTAAGTGTGGTTATGTATAAAAACGGAAAAATAATTATTTTGGGGTTATCTCTTTAATTATTGATTAAATCAAAAAAAATTGTTGACAAAGCTTGTTCAGAATTGTATCAGGAACACTTTTTGTTAACACAATTCTTTTCTAACTTGAAATTTTAATTTCCCACTGAATAGTATGTTATAAAAATTAATATTTTTGGGGTTATATCCTTATTATTGATTTAACCAAAAAATGTTGTTAACAAAATTTGTTTAGAATTACTTCAGGAACAGTGTTTGTTAATACAATTTTGTGCTAACTTGAAATTTTAATTTCCCTCTGAATAGTATGCCATCAAAATTAATTATCTCAACAATTATCGTTTTTATTAAGAAATGTTTTAAATAAAATTTGTTTCAATTTCGATTTTGAATCAATTATCTTAATAGAAAAATTTTACATCTCTATTAATTAAGCATCTAAGTGTGATTATGTATAAAAACGGAAAAATTATTATTTTGAGGTTATTTCCTTAATTATTGATTAAATCAAAAAAAATTGTTGACAAAGTTTGTTTAGAATTGTTTCAGGAACAATTTTTGTTAACACAATTTTTATCTAACTTGAAATTTTAATTTCCCACTGAATAGTATGCCATAAAAATTAATATTTTTGAGGTTATGTCCTTATTGTTGATTTAATCAAAAAATGTTGTTAACAAAATGTGTTTAGAATTACATCAGGAACAGTGTTTATTAATAAAAATTTTTGCTAACTTGAAATTTTAATTTCCCACTGAATAGTATAAAAATAATATTTTTGAGGTAATATCCTTATTGTTGATTTAATCAAAAAATGTTGTTAACAAAATTTGTTTAGAATTATCTCAGGAACAGCGTTTGCTAATAAAATTTTTTGCTAACTTGAAATTTTAATTTCCCTCTGAATAGTATAAAAATTAATATTTTTGAGGTTATTCCTTATTGTTGATTTAATCAAAAAATGTTGTTAACAAAATGTGTTTAGAATTACTTCAGGAACAGTGTTTGTTAATAAAATTTTTTGCTAACTTGAAATTTTAATTTCCCACTGAACAGTATGTTGTTCAGAAGAATTATGATATGATATATTATATGTTAAATAAACCATAAAATAATGAATATCAAACTAATAAAATACCATTTAAGGGTTAAAACATTAAAAACGAAGTAAAAAGGAACAAAAATTTATTTCTTACTGCATTTCAACATCTTCAACTAAATACTTAAGCTTCAAAACCATCGTACTCGGCGACGTCAAATCCGCCACCATAATCTCAGAGTTATCCTTCAACCCCAATTCGATCAAACTTTTCGACAAATTCTCCCGCGTTTTTTCCTCGATACTTTTAATACTCGACATATACAACGTTTTATTTTTCCCCTCGATAACCGTCGTTAATCCGGGATTTTTCATTTGAAAGGAAGCGCTCTCGCATAACATTCGAATCAAATCTTTTAGCTTGTATTTATCGGGATCTTTAATTTGTACGGTCGTGGGGATTTGGGAACAAGCCAAACAGTTATCTTTCTTTTCCGCCTCATAAGTGTAGGTGTAAATCCCATCGACGTCGTTAAAAACGGTGTAATTATTCATTGGGACGCAACAGCTCGTCGCTAATTTAAAAACTTCCGTTGCGCAGACCGCGGCAATGATCGCGTTGGTCGAGGCAACCGCGGGAATTATATTTTTCACGACTCCTTGGACTAAACGATAAGTTAACCCGTTTATGTTAAATTGCAAAGCGCGTTCCATCGATTTTTCGTAAATCCAACCTATATGTTGGGGGTCATCTCCGTCTAAATTAACCCCCCAAGGATTTTCTTTCCCCCATTGGATTACTTTAACATACTCAATACAATGCTCAGGAAGTCTTGGGGTATTGGCTATTGTACATAAAGGATAATTGACTTGTGGGGGGTACAAATCTAAGGTGCAATCAATACAAGGGGACAAACCAGGTAAAATAACTCTTGCATTTCCTTTAAAACCTTCGGTTCCTTAAAACAACAATTAAAATTACTTTATTGATTTACAACAACATAAATAGCGCCCTCTACCTCCATCAACTAATGGTATAATACTAGTTTGGTCTAAAACTCCATCTTCATAGCTCAACATTGAAATCAACATCCCATTAATCCATCTTCTAGCAACAATCGAATCTAACCCACACACAATGATGTGAAATTGCTTGTAAAAACCTTCATCATAATCTTGAATCTTGCAAAAATGGGGGGTCACTTGGCATCCCCCCACGCGGCGGTTAATAAAAGATGAAGCAATTTCAGCTTTGGACATACCTATATCTTTGTGTCTAAACAAAAATTGGCGGTTTAAATTCGATAATTCGATCGTGTCCATGTCGATTACGTGGAGTTGTTTGAACCCCATTAGGGCCAAATCTTTGAGGAGTTCGCACCCGAGACCCCCGGCCCCGATCACCAACACTTTACACGTCGTCATCACAAAATCGAGGATTTCCTTCGACGGCTCGAATTCGGGGTGGCAAAAAGGCCCCGGGCGCTCTAAAATCTTCCTTAAATGAGTCCATCGTTTCTCTTGAATTTCGGACATGTCAACAAAATTAGGTGAAATGACAACTGACGTTTCGTGATTTGACTTAAACTTTTTAAATAATTTAATTATTAAATTAATAATGAATTAACCGAAGTAATTTTAATTAAATTATTCTGATTAATTGAAATTAGAGCGATTTGATTAAAAAAAAATGTTGTATAAAAATTGCGATTTAACAGTATAGGTCCCTGTAATCGGTAAGTCATTTAATAATTATAAATGAATTAATTTTTCTTTACGACTATTAACAATCGATTTTGTTGCTAATGTTAATTTAGATTTAAATCTATTTATAATTTAGAATCCAAAAAAGAATTAAATTAAAATGAGAAGTTAAACAGCCTTAATTAATAATACGGTTCATAGATGGCTCCACCAAATAAACAAAAAAAATTAATAACTTTAAATTTAAATATTTATTCTAATTCTACACACAAATACATGCCATAAATAATTTCTTATTTCCCACAAAAACATAATTTTTGAGTTACGATTTTTTAAACCCACCTCATGTTTGATTCTTATAGATATAAAATATAAACTTTAAAAGGTCGTATCTCAAGAACGAATTGAGATATCAAATTTGATGGAGATTGAATGTGCCATAAATAATTTCTTATTTCCCATAAACATCGTTGTTATGATTTTTTAAACCTTAAACAGCAAAATTCATCAAGTTTTGATATTTTCGCTTCTTTCTCCATATTGAAGCATCTGATGACAAAAATGAAAGATAACAATATTATTAAGAATTAAATTTGCTACAACTTTTATTTAAAAAGTTTTTTTGTAATATGCTCCACTTCCAAAATGCTACCATTAATTAATAAAACAACGAAATTCATCAAATTTTCGCTTCTTTCTCTAAATTGAAGCATCTGACAGCAAAAATGAGAGAGAGCAATATTGTTAATAATAAGATTTGCTACAACTTTCGTTTAAAAAATTTTTTTGTAATATGCTCCGATTCCAAAATGTTACCATTAATTGATAAAACAACGAAATTCATCAAATTTTCATATTTTCGCTTCTTTCTCCATATTGAGGCATCTGACAGCAAAAATGAAAGATAACAATATTATTAAGAATTAAATTTGCTACAACTTTTGTTTAAAAAGTTTTTTTGTAATACGCTCCGATTTTTAAATGTTACCATTAATTGATAAAACAACGAAATACATCAAATTTTCATATGTTCGCTACTTTCTCTATATTGAGGCATCTGACAGCAAAAGTGAAAGAGAGCAATATTATTAAGAATTAAATTTGCTACAACTTTCGTTTAAAAAGTTTTTTTGTAACATGTTCCGATTCCCAAATGTCACCATTAATTGATAAAACAACGAAATTCATCAAATTTTCATATTTTCGCTTCTTTCTCCATATTGAAGCATCTGACAGCAAAAATTAAAGAAAGCAATATTGTTAATAATAAAATTTGCTACAATTTTTGTTTAAAAAGTTTTTTTGTAATATGCTCCGATTCCCAAATGTTACCATTAATTGATAAAACAACGAAATTCAGCAAATTTTCATATTTTCGCTTCTTTCTCCATATTCAGGCATCTGACAGCAAAAGTGAAAGAGAGCAATATTGTTAATAATAAAATTTGCTACAACTTTTGTTTAAAAAGTTTTTTTGTAATATGCTCCGATTCCCAAATGTTACCATTAATTGATAAAACAACGAAATTTATCAAACTTTCATATTTTCGTTTCTTTATCCATATTGAAGCATCTGACAGCAAGAATGAAAGAGAGCAATATTGTTAATAATAAAATTTGCCACAACTTTCGTTTAAAAAGTTTTTTTGTAATATGCTCCGATTCCCAAATGTTACCATTAATTGATAAAACAACGAAATTTATCAAATTTTCATATTTTCGTTTCTTTATCCATATTGAAGCATCTGACAGCAAGAATGAAAGAGAGCAATATTGTTAACAATAAAATTTGCCACAACTTTCGTTTAAAAAGTTTTTTTGTAATATGCTCCGATTCCAAAATATTACCATTAATTTATAAAACAACGAAATTCATCAAATTTTCATATTTTCGCTTCTTTCTCCATATTGAAGCATCTGACAGCAAAAATGAAAGAGAGCAATATTGTTAATAATAAAATTTGCTACAACTTTTATTTAAAAAGTTTTTTTGTAATATGCTCCGATTCCCAAATGTNATAAACTAGAATCTTTAAGCTACAATTTAACATATATATTATATCATAATTCTCAAAAATACAGATGATATGATTTTTTGAAAATTTCGTATAATGCTTGATTTCATCTTTAATAATTTTTTCCAGGAAATTTTAATAATATTAACTTATAATTTTTATATCATATCACAAACTAGAATCTTTAAGCTACAATTTAAAATATATATCATATCATGATTCTTAAAAATGCGAATGATATGGTTTTTGAAAATTTCGTGTTCTTTTAGATTTATAAATATGACAATTTCTTCTTCAACAATTTATTCCTAGAAATTTCATTAATATTATGTCATTGCTTTTATATCATATCATAAACTACAATCTTTAAGCTTCAATTTAACATACAAATCATTTTTGAAAATTTCGTAATCTTTTTAACAATTTCTTCTTCAACAATTTATTCCTGGAAATTTCATTAATATTACCTTATAGTTTTTATATCATATCATAAACTACAATCTTTAAGCTTCAATTTAACACACAAATTATATCATAATTCTAAAAAATGCAGATGATATAGTTTTTTGAAAATTTTGTAATCTTTTTGACAATTTCTTTTTCAATAATTTATTCCTGGAAATTTCATTNCAACATTTTTTGATTAAATCAACAATAAGGATATTACCTCAAAAATATCATTTTTATACTATTCAGAGGGAAATTAAAATTTCAAGTTAGCAAAAAATTTTATTAACAAACACTGTTCCTGAAGTAATTCTAAACACATTTTGTTAACAAGATTTTTTGATTAAATCAAAAATAAGGATATAACCCCAAAAATATTAATTTTGATGGCATACTATTCAGTGGAAAATTAAAATTTCAAGTTAGAAAAAAATTGTGTTAACAAAAATTGTTCCTGAAACAATTCTAAACATTCTTTGTCAACAATTTTTTTTGATTTAATCAATAATTAAAGAGATAGCCTCAAAATAATAATTTTTCCGTTTTTATGCATAATCACACTTAGATGCTTAATTAATAGAGATGTAAAAATTTTTTATTAAGATAATTGATTCAAAATTGAAATTGAAACCAATTTTATTTAAAACATTTTTTAATAAAAACAATAATTGTTGAAATAATTAATTTTGATGGCATACTATTCAGTGGGAAATTAAGATTTCAAGTTAGCAAAAAATTGTATTAATAAACACTGTTCCTGAGGTAACTTTAAACAAATTTTGTTAATAGAAATTTTGGATTTGATCAATAACTAAGAACATAACCTCAAAAAAAATTGTATATATATATATTTTTTTTGAGAAAATCATTTTAGAATTTAATTTAGAACAACTTTTTTATGAAATTTTCTGCTGAGAGTGAATGGAGGGGGGAAACCGTTTTGTTACAAAAGTTCCGTGCCCTACACATCATAAACTGGAATCTTTAAGCTTTAATTTAACATACATATCATATCATAATTCTCAAAAATGAAGTATATATGATTTTTTGAAAATTTCGTATTATTTTTTATTAATAATTTGACGTTTTTCAGAAAATTTTAATAACATTATCTCAAAATTTTTATAATCGAACCCTATCTTTTCTATATCATATCATAATTTAGAATGTTTCTACGTTAATTTGAGATATAATACACATTCTTACCTTTAAAAGTAAAGAAGATATCATTTTTTGAAATTTTTAATTTTTTAAGCTGTCTATACCAATTTTACAATTTTTCGTTTATGATGACATTTCTCAAAATTTTTATAATCGAACCCTATCTTTTTTATATCATATCATAAACTAGAATATTTAAGCTTCAATTTAACATATATTTCATATCATTATACATAAAAATATAGAAAATATGATATTTTGAAAATTTCTCTTTTATTTATAAATTTGACAATTTCTTCTTCAATAATTTTTTCCTCAAATTTTTAATAATATTATATTACAATTTTCATATCATATCCTAAACTAGAATCTTCAAGCTTTAAATTATCATAAATTATAAATTAATTTTCCCTAATTTCTCCATATTGAGGCACCTGACAACAAAAATGGAAGAGAGCAATATTGTTAATAATAAAATTTACTACAACTTTCGTTTAAAAAGTTTTTTTGTAATATGCTCCGATTCCCAAATATTACCATTAATTGATAAAACAACGAAATTCATCAAATTCTCATATTTTAGCTTCTTCCTCCATATTGAAGCAACTGACAGCAAAAATGAAAGAGAGCAATATTGTTAATAATAATATTTGCTACAACTTTTGTTTAAAAAGTTTTTTTGTAATATGCTCCGATTCCCAAATGCTACCATTAATTAATAAAACAACGAAATTCATCAAATTTTCATATTTCCGCTTCTTTCTTCATATTGAGGCATCTAACAGCAAAAGTGAAAGAGAGCAATATTATTAAGAATTAGATTTGCTACAACTTTTGTTTAAAAAGTTTTTTTGTAATATGCTCCGATTTTTAAATTTTACCATTAATTGATAAAATAACGAAATTCATCAAATTTTCATATTTTCGCTTCTTTCTCTATATTGAAGCATCTGACAGCAAAAATAAAAGAGAGCAATATTGTTAACAATAAAATTTGCTACAACTTTTGTTTAAAAAGTTTCTTTGTAACATGCTCCGATTCCCAAATGTTACCATTAATTTATAAAACAACGAAATTCATCAAATTCTCATATTTTAACTTCTTCCTCCATATTGAAGCAACTGATAGCAAAAATGAAAGAGAGCAATATTGTTAATAATAAAATTTGCTACAACTTTCGTTTAAAAAGTTTTTTTGTAATATGCTCCGATTCCCAAATGTTACCATTAATTGATAAAACAACGAAATTCATCAAATTTTCATATTTTCGCTTCTTTCTCCATATTGAAGCATCTGACAGCAAAAATGAAAGAGAGCAATATTGTTAATAATAAAATTTGCTACAACTTTTATTTAAAAAGTTTTTTTGTAATATGCTCCGATTCCCAAATGTTACCATTAATTTATAAAATAACGAAATTCATCAAATTTTCATATTTTCGCTTCTTTCTCCATATTGAAGCATCTGACAGCAAAAGTGAAAGAGAGCAATATTGTTAATAATAAAATTTGCTACATCTTTTATTTAAAAAGTTTTTTTGTAATATGCTCCGATTCCCAAATGTTACCATTAATTGATAAAATAACGAAATTCATCAAATTTTCATATTATCGCTTCTTTCTCCATATTGAAGCATCTGACAGCAAAAGTGAAAGAAAGCAATATTGTTAATAATAAAATTTGCTACAACTTTCGTTTAAAAAGTTTTTTTGTAATATGCTCCGATTCCCAAATGTTACCATTAATTGATAAAACAACGAAATTCATCAAATTTTCATATTTTCGCTTCTTTCTCCGTATTGAGATATCTGACAGCAAAAGTGAAACAGAGCAATATTGTTAATAATAAGATTTGCTACAACTTTCGTTTAAAAAGTTTTTTTGTAATATGCTCCGATTCCCAAATGTTACCATTAATTGATAAAACAACGAAATTCATCAAATTTTCATATTTTCGCTTCTTTCTCCGTATTGAGATATCTGACAGCAAAAGTGAAACAGAGCAATATTGTTAATAATAAGATTTGCTACAACTTTCGTTTAAAAAGTTTTTTTGTAATATGCTCCGATTCCCAAATGTTACCATTAATTGATAAAACAACGAAATTCATCAAATTTTCATATTTTCGCTTCTTTCTCCGTATTGAGATATCTGACAGCAAAAGTGAAACAGAGCAATATTGTTAATAATAAGATTTGCTACAACTTTCGTTTAAAAAGTTTTTTTGTAATATGCTCCGATTCCCAAATGTTACCATTAATTGATAAAACAACGAAATTCATCAAATTTTCATATTTTCGCTTCTTTCTCCGTATTGAGATATCTGACAGCAAAAGTGAAACAGAGCAATATTGTTAATAATAAGATTTGCTACAACTTTCGTTTAAAAAGTTTTTTTGTAATATGCTCCGATTCCCAAATGTTACCATTAATTGATAAAACAACGAAATTCATCAAATTTTCATATTTTCGCTTCTTTCTCCGTATTGAGATATCTGACAGCAAAAGTGAAACAGAGCAATATTGTTAATAATAAGATTTGCTACAACTTTCGTTTAAAAAGTTTTTTTGTAATATGCTCCGATTCCCAAATGTTACCATTAATTGATAAAACAACGAAATTCATCAAATTTTCATATTTTCGCTTCTTTCTCCATATTGAGGCATCTGACAGCAAAAGTGAAAGAGAGCAATATTGTTAATAATAAAATTTGCTACAACTTTCGTTTAAAAAGTTTTTTTGTAATATGCTCCGATTCCCAAATGTTACCATTAATTGATAAAACAACGAAATTCATCAAATTTTTATATTTTCGCTTCTTTCTCCATATTGAGGCATCTGACAACAAAAGTGGAAGAGAGCAATATTGTTAATAATAAAATTTGCTACAACTTTTGTTTAAAAAGTTTTTTTATAACATGTTGTTTTTGTGTTTTGTGTAATTTATTATAATTGATATCTGTATTATCTTTGTCTAGCATTCAACATCATTTCGAGTAAGGGAAAAGGTTCTTTCATACAATATTGGGCATAAATTGTTTATAAAAGTGTATTTTATCCAAATAACATTTAATTTTGCTTTTCAATATTTCCAAAAAACATCTAATCGATTGCTAAACTCCTAAAACTCCCTTCTGATCCGAATAAATGATCGCAATTTGTAACCTTTTCAATCCTCTTCGATTCATCATTAATTTCCAAGTCATCTCTTGCCAAGAAATCGTCGTACTCTTCAAATAACTTCAAAGATTCATCTAAAAAAGCGAAAAATAACAATTAATTATAACAACAATTAAAATTCAACCTCTCATTTCGAATAAACTCGGTGATTTTCCACCATATTCCTTCGGTAAGACATCTTTTGGAACAAAAACGTTTAATTCGTCCAAACTTTTATGAATTTGAACCAAACGAAAAATTTCACTGCTTAAAAACGGTTTAAAAGTTGTTATTATACGTTGCACCAAAACATTACTTCCCAATAAATGTATTCCTTTAATTCGAATGTGTAAAGCTTGCTAGAAATGTAGTTCTTTAATTTAGCATAATTATTGATTAATAGTATTAATTAACCTGGAGATAATAAATATATTTTTGCGAAATCAACAAATTCAACTTCAAAAAATGACCCATGGTGCAATTATCAGTGTCCACGATTAAAACATGCCCTCCGCTGGTTCCATTTCGATGAAAATGAATCGAAATGGTTGCGTCCAAACCTTGTTTGAAAAAAATTGTTTTAATCCCATTAATTCTTGATTAAATTCCCTTTAAAACGCACTTTATTTCATGGTGATATCTCAATTCGTTTTTGAGATACAACACTTTAAATTCAATTTTTATTAATTTAACCTCAATTATTGAGTTGGATTAAAAAAATCGTATCTCCGCGATTTATAGAATCGAAATAAAAATTTTCAGGGTCTTAAATCTAAATTAAATTTCCTATAAAATGTTGATTAAATCATTTTGATATCTCATTTATTTTTTGAGATACGATTCTTTTAATTTTGACGTTTTTTAACTTAATTTGTATCGAATAAAGATGTAGAGATGAATTAAAAAAATCATTTCTCCAAAATTTGTGGGATTAAAAAAATTGTTTTTATCCCATTAATTCTTGATTAAATTCCCTTTAAAACGCACTTTATTTCGTGGTGATATCTCAATTCGTTTTTGAGATATGATTCTTTAAATTCCATTTTTATTAATTTAACCTCAATTATTGAGTTGAATTAAAAAAATCGTATCTCCGCGATTTATAGAATCGAAATAAAAATCTTCGGGGTCTCAAATCTAGATTAAATTTGCTTCAAAATGGTGATTAAATCATTTTGATATTTCAATTATTTTTTGAGATACGATTCTCTTAATTTTGACGTTTTTTAACTTAATTTGTAACGAGTAAAGATGTAGAGATGAATTAAAAAAATCGCTTCACTGAAATTTGTTTGATTAAAAAAATTGTTTTAATCCCATCAATTCTTGATTAAATTCCCTTTAAAACGCACATTATTTCATGCCGATATCTCAATTCGTTTTTGAGATACAACTCTTTAAATTCCAATTTTATTAATTTAACCTCCTTAATTGAGTTGAATTAAAAAAATCGTATCTCCGCGATTTATAGAATCGAAATAAAAATCTTCGAGGTCTTAAATCTAAATTAAATTTCCTATAAAATGGTGATTAAATTATTTTGATAACTCAATTATTTTTTGAGATACGATTCTTTTAATTTTGACGTTTTTTAAGTTAATTTGTATCGAATGAAGATGTAGAGATGAATTAAAAAAATCGTTTCACCGAAATTTGTGGGATTGAAAAAATTGTTTTAATCCCATTAATTCTTGATTAAATTCCCATTAAAGCGCACTTTATTTCATGGTGATATCTCAATTCGTTCTTGAGATACAACTCTTTAAATTCCGTTTTTATCAATTTAACCTAAATTAATGAGTTGAATTAAAAAAATCGTATCTCCGTGATTTATAGAATCGAAATAAAAACTTTCGGGGTCTTAAATCTAGATTAAATTTTCTATAAAATGGTGATTAAATCATTTTGATATCTCAATTATTTTTTGAGATACGATCCTTTTAATTTTGACGTTTTTTAACTTAATTTGTAACGAGTAAAGATGTAGAGATGAATTAAAAAAATCGTTTCTCCAAAATTTATGGGATTAAAAAAATTGTTTTAATCCCATTAATTCTTGATTAAATTCCCTTTAAAACGCACTTTATTTCATGGCGATATCTCAATTCATTTTTGAGATATTCTATTTTAAATTCCATTTTTAGCAATTTAACCTCAATTATTGAGTTGAATTAAAAAGATCGTATCTCCGCGATTTATAGAATCGAAATAAAAATTTTCGGAGTCTTAAATCTAGATTAAATTTCCTATAAAATGGTGATTAAATCATTTTGATATCTCAATTATTTTTTGAGATACGATTCTTTTAATTTTGACGTTCTTTAACTTAATTTGTAACGAGTAAAGATGTAGAGATGAATTAAAAAAATCATTTCACCAAAATTTGAGGGATTAAAAAAATTGTTTTAATCCCATTAATTCTTGATTGAATTCCCTTTAAAACGCACATTATTTCATAGGGATATCTCAATTCGTTCTTGAGATATTCTATTTTAAATTCCATTTTTGGCAATTTAACCTCAATTATTGAGTTGGATTAAAAAAATCGTATCTCCGCGATTTATAGAATCGAAATAAAAAATTTCGGGGTCTTAAATCTATATTAAATTTGCTACAAAATGGTGATTAAATCATTTTAATATCTCAATTATTTTTTGAGATACAATTCTTTTAATTTTGACGTTTTTTAACTTAATTTGTATCGAGTAAAGATGTAGAGATGAATTAAAAAAATCGTTTCTCCAAAATTTGTGGGATTAAAAAAATTGTTTTAATCCCATTAATTCTTGATTAAATTCCCTTTAAAACGCACTTTATTTCATGGCGATATCTCAATTCGTTTTTGAGATATGATTCTTTAAATTTCATTTTTATTAATTTAACCTCAATTATTGAGTTGAATTAAAAAAATCGTATCTCCGCGATTTATAGAATCGAAATAAAAATTTTCGGGGTCTTAAATCTAGATTAAATTTGCTACAAAATGGTGATTAAATCATTTTAATATCTCAATTATTTTTTGAGATACAATTCTTTTAATTTTGACGTTTTTTAACTTAATTTGTATCGAGTAAAGATGTAGAGATGAATTAAAAAAATCGTTTCTCCAAAATTTGTGGGATTAAAAAAATTGTTTTAATCCCATTAATTCTTGATTAAATTCCCTTTAAAACGCACTTTATTTTATGGCGATATCTCAATTCGTTTTTGAGATACAACTCTTTAAATTCAATTTTTATCAATTTAACCTAAATTATTGAGTTGGATTAAAAAAATCGTATCTTCGCGATTTATAGAATCGAAATAAAAATCATCGGGGTCTCAAATCTAGATTAAATTTGCTACAAAATGGTGATTAAATCATTTTGATATCTCCATTATTTTTTGAGATACGATTCTTTTGATTTTGATGTTTTTTAACTTAATTTGTATCGAGTAAAGATGTAGAGATGAATTAAAAAAATCATTTCACCGAAATTTGTGGGATTAAAAAAATTGTTTTAATCCCATCAATTCTTGATTAAATTCCCTTTAAAACGCACATTATTTCATGGTAATATCTCAATTCGTTCTTGAGATATTCTATTTTAAATTCCATTTTTATCAATTTAACCTCATTAATTGAGTTGAATTAAAAAAACCGCATCTTCGCGATTTATAGAATCGAAATAAAAACTTTCGGGGTCTTAAATCTAGATTAAATTTCCTATAAAATAGTGATTAAATCATTTTGATATCTCAATTATATTTTGAGATACGATTCTTTTAATTTTGACGTTTTTTAACTTAATTTGTAACGAGTAAAGATGTATAGATGAATTAAAAAAATCATTTCTCCAAAATTTGTGGGATTGAAAAAATTGTTTTAATCCCATTAATTCTTGATTAGATTCCCTTTAAAACGGCCTTTATTTCATGGTAATATCTCAATTCGTTTTTGAGATACAACTCTTTAAATTCAAATTTTATTAATTTAACCTAAATTATTGAGTTGAATTAAAAAAATCGTATCTCCGCGATTTATAGAATCGAAATAAAAATTTTCGGGGTCTTAAATCTAGATTAAATTTGCTACAAAATGGTGATTAAATCATTTTGATATCTCAATTATTTTTTGAGATACGATTCTTTTAATTTTGACGTTTTTTAACTTAATTTGTAACGAGTAAAGATGTAGAGATGAATTAAAAAAATCGTTTCACCGAAATTTGTGGGATTAAAAAAATTGTTTTAATCCCATTAATTCTTGATTAAATTCCCTTTAAAACGTACTTTATTTCATGGTGATATCTCAACTCGTTCTTGAGATACGCTATTTTAAATTTCATTTTTATTAATTTAACCTCAATTATTGAGTTGAATTAAAAAAATCGTATCTTCGCGATTTATAGAATCGAAATAAAAATTTTCGGGGTCTTAAATCTAGATTAAATTTGCTACAAAATGGTGATTAAATCATTTTGATATCTCAATTATTTTTTGAGATACGATTCTTTTAATTTTGACGTTTTTTAACTTAATTTGTATCGAGTAAAGATGTAGAGATGAATTAAAAAAACCGTTTCTCCAAAATTTGTGGGATTAAAAAAATTGTTTTAATCCCATTAATTCTTGATTAAATTCCCTTTAAAACGGCCTTTATTTCATGGCGATATCTCAATTCGTTTTTGAGATACAACTCTTTAAATTCCATTCTTATTAATTTAACCTCATTAATTGAATTGGATTAAAAAAATCGTATCTCTGCGAATTATAGAATCGAAATAAAAAATTTCGGGGTCTTAAATCTAGATTAAATTTGCTACAAAATGGTGATTAAATCATTTTGATATCTCAATTATTTTTTGAGATACGATTCTTTTAATTTTAATGATTTTTAACTTAATTTGTATCGAGTAAAGATGTAGAGATGAATTAAAAAAACATTACTCCAAAATTTGTTTGATTAAAAAAATTGCTTTAGTCCCATTAATTCTTGATTAAATTCCCTTTAAAACGCATTTTATTTCATGGGGATATCTCAATTCGTTCTTGAGATACAACACTTTAAATTTCATTTTTATTAATTTAACCTCATTACTTGAGTTGGATTAAAAAAATCGTATCTCCGCGATTTATGGAATCGAAATAAAAATTTTCGGGGTCTTAAATCTAGATTAAATTTGCTACAAAATGGTGATTAAATCATTTTGATATCTCAATTATTTTTTGAGATACGATTCTTTTAATTTTAATGATTTTTAACTTAATTTGTATCGAGTAAAGATGTAGAGATGAATTAAAAAAACATTACTCCAAAATTTGTTTGATTAAAAAAATTGCTTTAGTCCCATTAATTCTTGATTAAATTCCCTTTAAAACGCATTTTATTTCATGGGGATATCTCAATTCGTTCTTGAGATACAACACTTTAAATTTCATTTTTATTAATTTAACCTCATTACTTGAGTTGGATTAAAAAAATCGTATCTCCGCGATTTATGGAATCGAAATAAAAATTTTCGGGGTCTTAAATCTAGATTAAATTTCCTATAAAATGGTGATTAAATCATTTCGATACCTCAATTAGCTTTTGAGATACGATTCTTTTAATTTTGGTGTTTGATCCAAACCTTTTAAGCATGTTAAATGTACGAATTTTTCTGGATTTTTATCGATTAATTTAACAAATAGGATTGAATAACCTTGTTGAGTTTTAAATGGAAGAACGTATTGCACCCTTAAACAATTTGGTTGAATTAAATTAAAAAAAATAAATCAATTTTTGTTACATTATTTCGCAGTTGGGTTTAATTTCTTTGAATCGTCGATTTTTAAACACTTCCGGACACCGAGTTTTGATCGTGTAATAATTTTCGATGCAACTTTTAGTCGGTTCAAGTTTGTAATAACAACTATGTAGGAAAAAAGCTATTTTTAAATCTAAAAGGAAAATTTTAGAAAATTGTTTTAAATAAATTTATTAATAAAGAACTTTTTACCTGAAATTTTGGGTAAGTGAGATTGTTGGTGAACCCATTTCGATATAATGTCGATATCTTCGCGTTTTAATTCTGGATTTTTCTTAAATTCGTCGTCTAAAGTGGTAACCTTTTTGTTCGACATGGTTAAAGTTTAAACAGCAAGTGTGATATGGACGGTGAGTAGCTGACAATGAGATGAGAGAAATCTATAAAAAACCTGTTTTTTGTACAGTATTCAAGGTAAATGATCACTTCCTAGGTAATTAGCACCTCAATGCCGCTTAAATTATTTGTAAAGGATCGTTGTTTTACATCTTGTTGGTAGAGGATGAATGAGAAATTCGGAACGTTTTAGAAAAAAAGTTTTAAAATAAAAGTTGTAGCAAATTTAATTCTTAACAATATTGGTCTCTTTCACTTTTGCTCTCAGATGCTTCAATATGGAGAAAGAAGCGGAAATATGAACATTTGATGAATTTCGTTGTTTTATCGATTAATGGTAACATTTGGGAATCGCAGCATGTTACAAAAAAACTTTTTAAATAAAAGTTGTAGCAAATCTTATTATTAACAATATTGTTCTCTTTCATTTTTGCTGTCAGATGCTTCAATATGGAGAAAGAAGTGAAAATATGAAAATTTGATGAATTTCGTTGTTTTATCAATTAATGGTAACATTTGGGAATCGAAGCGTGTTACAAAAAAACTTTTTAAACAAAAGTTGTAGCAAATTTTATTATTAACAATATTGTTCTCTTACATTTTTGCTGTCAGATGCCTCAATATGGAGAAAGAAGCGAAAATATGAAAATTTGATGAATTTCGTTGTTTTATCAATTAATGGTAACATTTGGGAATCGGAGCATA